CTTGTGGAACACTCGCAGAACAAGTTACCTTGCAGTCCAAGGTTTTACTGTACTTCCTAGAGGCTTTCTCCATGGTTCTTGGTTCCACGCTGTAGACGCTGGGCTTCTCCCTCAGAATCCTCCTCCCTTTTTCATAAAAGGTGACATGTATTTGCAGCTGAGGGCAGGGGGGGAGGGGGGGCTCAGAACCTGCTGCTTGTCAGGGAACTTTGGTGGCCCGAAGGTCTCTTTCCATTTAGCACGATCTCTGTCCCTTCCAGTCCAAGCTGGCAGTGTTTCTGTTTATATAATAATCTTTATTTTAAAATGTGTGGGTCTTACCTGAATCTCTTCGGAATGCACTGCATTAGACAAAAGTCACACTCATAGGTCTCTTTGAGATAAGCCCTTCTCTGCCTTGGGATTTTGCGGAGATGATGAGTGACAGAGTGAGGAAGTTTGTCTGAGATCGACTAGCATATCCTTAAGTTCTAGTTTATCTGCCCGAAGGATGTTCTAGGCAACGCCTTTGATCTTCCTGAAGTCTAACCAAAGACTTTTATAGTCACACGCTGGCTTCATCTTTAGACCATGCCTTCCGGAGAGCACTCTCCTTTGCTCAGAAACCATTTCTCAATTTTAGCGTCCTTCACCATCTGGGGAGCTCCCAGGGTCAGCCAAATGCAAGGTGAAGGTCGCCGTCCTCCAGTCTGCCACTTCTGTCCAAGACTTGTGACATCGGCCGCAAGCTTGGGGGTCCGTGAGGCCACCCTCCCTTCAGACCAGCTGCCTACAAATTCAGAGATTCTCACGGACTCCCTCAGTGTCAAAAGTTTGCTAGAGCTGGCTGTAGGACTTAGGACAGCACTGGACTTAGGTTGATCTTTTAATGACTTTTTTAAGGTTTACTTATTTTGAGAGAGAGAGAGAGAGAGAGAGGGAGAGAGAGAGTGCACAAGTGCATGAGCCAGGGAGGGGCTAAGCAGGGAGAGAGAGGATCCCAAGCAGGCTCTTTGCTATCAGCTTGGAGCCCAATGTGGGGCTGGATCTCACCAACAGTGAGACCATGACCTGAGCTGAAATCAAGAGTTGGACGCTTAACCAACTGAGCCACCCAGGTGCCCCAGGACGATCGTTTTGTTGGAGCAAAAGAATACTATAGCCAGAGGAAGAGATCCGTAGGGTGGAATCTGAGACTAGGAGGTTCCCAAAGGCAGGCCTTGCGTGACCCCGGGGACGTGTTCCCCTCCTGGCACCGGTGTGGGGGGGGCACACACGGAGTAGCCCCACTCCAGGAAGCTCACCCAAGCTGTGGTGTCTGGAGTTTTCACTCTGTCAGCATGGCTGGACTGTTGCTCATGTGGCTGACCTTGATCTCCATCTCTACACACGCTTCCCCTGGAGGTCAGGCTGATCTCACGTGGCCTCAACCCCTCTCATGGCATAGTTGGCCTTTCGGGCACGACCAGCCCCCCCGCCCGAGTCATCTTGTTGCCAGAAAGTATCCGGTGTGGCACCAGGGGCTCACCGCCAGGAGCAAAGACACCCCTGCCCCCCAGGAAATCCCAAGGAGCCCTGACAGAGGACACACCCCGCTTTGGGGAAAGTTAATTTTTCGCTTCACGGGGAGGTTGAGAATCTTCCAGACTTTCCAGTCCCAGCTCCTGCGTGTTTTAACGTTTCTCTTTTAGCTCTTCTCTCCTCTTGCCTTCACTCCCAAGTGGCAAGAAATCAGGCAGCCATCCCGCACCGTGGCTGGGAATCCCGTAGCTAGACGGCCCGGCTCACGAGTCACGTGTTCTCTGTTCCAGAAAACTGCACGCAACGCCCGGTGTTCAACTTTAGCTGCCACAAAACAAAAACCTCCTTTCCTCAGGCTTCTCGTAACACATCCCTCACCTCCCTTTATGCCCTCACGGGCTGGCTCCTCGTGGTTCACGCTTACACCAACAGTTTGTTCAAGGCGGTCTCGGCTCTGACAGGCTCTTCAGGGCCTTTCCAGCCCGCGCCCACTGCCCTGTGCTAAAGCCACTCCGCCTTTTAGGTTTTTCGTTACGGCGGCAAAACCTTGTCATCTGTTTCTGGATAACAGATTACTACTCTGAAGCTTAAAATAATAAGTGTGTATTACCTCACATCATTTCTGGGGACCGGGGGGTCTGGGAGCCACTTAACTGGGTGGCTTTTGCCTGGCGTCTCGTGCAGGAGAGATGTCACGAGACATCTTGCAGTCGAGACGTCATCCAGGGTTGCCGTCACTTGAAGGCTTGAAAGGGGCGAGAAGATGTGCCTTCGAGATCACTCACGCGCCTGCAGGCAGCAGGCCTCCGTTTCTCACCATGGGGGCCTCTCCGGAGGGCATCCCCCAGAGCAAGGGACCAGCAAAAACAGAAGCCACAGTTTCTTCACAACCCAACATTGGAAGTCACACATCATCATCCCCTCAATATCCTATTGTTCCCAGATCAACCTTAGTCACTGGAGTAGGAGATTATGCTGGGGCGCAAATACCAAGGGTGGGATGCTTGAGAGCCATCTTGGTGACTGGTTACCACAGGGTCCTTACGCCCATTTTACAGATGAGGAAACTGAAGCTCAGACTTTTCTTTTGAGAGAGAGAGAGAGAGA